TCTTGCCTGCCTTGATTTGGGGAAGCCTTCCGTGGTCGACGCTATAACTTGTGACATTGGTGACCCCGACGTGATATGAACACGCAACCTTCTGACACCTTCGACACTCAGTTGAGCATCATTGTTGACCAGGAAACGTCTGCCAGTATGGCTGTCACAAACGTAAAAAGTGCGACCGGTCGAGTTGCCAGAGAGCTCGGCCGCATTTACTCTCAGACCGAGGCGTCTCCCTGTGAGGGTCTGAAGAAACAGGGTGGAACACAATGTCGAGCCTTGTCACCAAAAGTAAGGTGATACCAACATAAATCGTGGTTCCTGGACGAGAAGGGGAACGACGCCGGTTGCGGCCGGTGAGATGACGTCGATTGCGGCTGCCAAAACGCTGGGGTGGACCGTTGGAGTTGCGTAACTGCATGTTCGCAATGGTCGCCGAGAGTTGAGTAGCCTGTGCTTTGAGCTCAGATAGTTCAGAGCTGTGAAACCTGAGCCACTGTCCCGGTGGAGAAGCGTTACACTTCAATCATCTGATCTGTCCTCTTAGATAGCGTCGAAGCGTCTATGTCGTCCGAACCAGCAGCAAGTATGGTCTGGATGGAAACGGGCAGCCGCCCCAAAAACATCTCTTTGAAGAACTTCGCATCAATTTTCATGTCGCCGAGAAGGGAGCGCATCTAATTGAGGAGTTCGGATGGCTTGCGATCGCCTAATGGTTCTTCACTGACCAGAGAATGATAGCGCTGGCGGTGAGAGACGGCGGTTAGTTGCAAAATTTTCGATTTCAATGTTGTATAGGGCTCCTCTTTTGGAGGTTCGCTCAACAAGGTCTGCACCTGAGCTAAGATGGTGGGCGGAAGAACCTCAACCAACTTGTAAAACTTGTCAGTTTCCTCCGTGATCTTCGCGGAGTGGAAGGAGGCTTCAATGCGCTAGAAGTAGAGTTCAGGCGCATGTTGCCAGAAATCTGGAAGCGTCACAGGAGCTGTCATAATGGAGGCCGATGTAGATGAACGCAAGGAGAAGGCGTGTACTGCAAATAGTCAGCACCTGTCTAATTCGGAGATTTTGAAGAAGAGCGTGTTCGCCGGTAGGTCACCAATGTCGCAGTTGGCGCGGTTCTTCAACAACACGTCGCAGGACAGTCCCAACCCTTAGCTTTCTTTTTCAAGAAGCTAACGCCTGCTGAATCGCGTTATAGCACGTTTGGACGGGAGCTT